AGCATCGACATTCTTTTCGTAGACCCACCATCTCTATCTTTCTGGATCTGAAAGCGGCTTTGGAGCAGGTGCATGAGTTTTGTTATTGGGTCAGCTACATCTCATCCGGTGGAGGCATCACGAATGAAGTGTCAGCTCGCCTACAGAAGGCCCGATTGGCATTTGCCAACTTGAGACATCTGTGGCGCTATCGCGACATCCAGTTGTCTGTGAAGGGTCGAGTGTATGCCGCGGCAGTTCGACCAGTTCTTCTATATGGTGCAGAAACTTGGACATTAAGAAAGTAGAACAAAGATAGACTGTCGGTGTTTGAACACCGCTGTCTACGCAGCATTGCACGAATCTGTTGGGGCAGTCGGACGAAGAATGCTGTTAGGCGCANCAGCGTTTTGGGTATCCGCGACGCCACTGGAGCAAGTGGTCCACCTCCATAGATTAGGTTAGTTGGGGCATGTGTTACACATGTCAGTAGATAGTTTGCCACGGCCAGCGGTGTTCGCCGAGGCAAGTAGTGGGTGGAAGAAAGTCAAGGGTGGCCAAGCTAAGACCTGGCGCGAGGGTATGAAAACCCTGACCAGGAGTCTGGGTTACATAGGTCCTGTTAGGCTCCCTGGCTGGGGACCTAGAGATGATTGTCCCCGATGGTTAGAGACACTGAATGATATGGCTGGATGTCGTAAACAGTGGTGTTCTCGCATTTTCTCAGTTTCTTTGCAATCTTAGGCCATTAAACTTCTCCATTTTCAGTTCGACTCTACCCCTAACTTTTCTGTCTTCTATTATTCATCCAAATGGGCAGCCAAAAGACAGCAAACAAAAACGGCCCACGAGAGTGCATGGTTAATGGTTATTGAAACTGAACTGAAACTTATAAGCGAATGCATAGTCGAGCTGTATATTCTATGTTCAGAACAGTGGTTTATTTTCCTATTTCTTTTTCCATATATGTACATTACCTATTCACTTGAAGCAATCATGTTTCATCTTAGTGATGCGGTGTGCTATGTTATCTTGGACCATCGTGTTATCTTTTTTGATAAACACTAGTGTGGTCATCTGTTTAGCCATTTGAGCTCACTGTTCCTTTTTATTCACGTTGAATTTTTTGTTTCTGTTTCCGATAAACCAAACAGGGCACACAGCACAATCAAATTAAACATACATTCGCATTTCAGCATTTACTATGTATATCTTTTTGATGGACAAGGGACAGCTCGAGCAGCTGAATCCCACCCCACCAAGGTAAGTCCTCATCTGTATCCGTCCGACACTCAATAGCCCAGATATCCAATTACTCGTATCAGGTGATTGATTTTACATACTTCGGTGGGCTTCCAGTACTCTACTCCTCCGAAAAATAGCCAGACTGTTTAATATGCTCCTCTTGTCCGTCTTTCCTCCCATCCACAGCCTCTATCTTCCTTAAGCATAAATCAGTAAATGAAATTAATCGTATATGTTCCCTCCTAACCTTCCTCTTTCTATATTATCCCCAGATAGTGGCGTTTGCCGCTTTTACTGTAGCTAACTTTGTGGATGTTTATTATCTACAAACACCCCCTAAACGGAGTAACTACAAATATTTCCCCTTTTCTTTCCTTTTCCTGCCATATGATCTCCCTCCTGTTTCACATTTCTCTGAACAGCGTGTCCCGTTTACAGTCAGTCCTACAAGAGAAGTTTGAATTGAAGGTGGAGAAACAGATCCTTTTAGTATCCGGTGGATTCCAGTTGGGGCCGGACGAAAGATTACCATATAACGGAGCGGGATTGGTGAGTTACGGTCACAACAAGCAAAACAAAAAACAAACAAGCAACTAGCGTTTCAGAACTGTAGATAGTGTCATAAATTTTGGTCCTTCAGTTCTGCACCTGTACACTTTCCGTCTTAAATAACATGACCATTGGTCTACTTTTTCTCGGCAGAGTGTAAAGTCAATAGGGACCAGTTAGTCTAATGTCGTTTCACCAGCTTTGTCAGGTTTACACGAGTATCGTGCCCTCAAAGCTGATATCATCAGTCGTCTGTTCGCAATTTATTTTGTGTTTGGTAGCTGCCCGACTTCTTGGTAATTTCCTATTAATGTTGTCACCACCGAAGAGTAAGAAATCCTCTTGTGATTCTTTGCTGATGATGTCAGTTGTACTCTTTATTGCACACTATCATGGGGTGAACAGCTAAATGTGTAAACTCAGGGGAATCAACATTCTTAACCCTAGGAATTGATAGGTCGAACCACAAAAGGCTGGTAAATAGCGAAGTTAACTACCACCAAGGTTGAGTGGTGGTGGCCAGGTTCGCACCTCGAGNAGACTTTGACCGTCACCACTGATGATCAAACGTTTTGTATATTTTCCCGAGATCATGTAAACGCCTTCAACTGAGTCGAAGGCTCGTTCAGGTCAAGGAACATTGCAACGGTGAGTGTGACGCAACTCAAGGACCTGATGCAACGTAAAACTTTGGTCAATACATCCACGGTCAGGCCGGAATCCGGCTTGCTGTTCACGTATGTTGGTCTCTCTTAAAGGNGTTGCGAGATCTCTTCTTGTGAATGGGAGCGATCAGTGATTTGGCCCAATCGTCTTTTTGTGTGCTCTTAAGATTTGTTAAAGTTAGCAATCAACATTCGTTTTATGTCCCACTCTCACACTTCCCCGCGTATTATGAAGCGAAGCCACAACTAAGACAACTGGTTGTTGCCAACGTATTGCTAACTGTTCCATCGGCAAATATCACCACAGTAGGACAAGCACGGCTAGGTAGTTCTGTCCCCGATCCCCCAGCCAATCCGCAACGAGTAGTACGTGTGATGCACTTTTCATTACCGGAGGTCAAAGTGAATTTCACAGCTTAGCCCCAATGGATCTCGTTACCTTAGGATAGGCATATGTTGAGGGCCACACTTTTTGCATACATTTTGTGGGCGTGTATTCCAATAGGAACATGCAGTTTCTGCGAGGCAGATAACAAATTCACAACATTTTCTCAGATAACTTAAGTTTTCAAAAAGGCGCCTGTGTTCGCACCCAACATTAGTTCTGAGGTTACGTATCTTATAATGTATACTTATTTATCTCGTTAACTCTTTTTACTTCATTTCAAATAACGTCGATCTGATTGAGAGATATCTTATTCCGTTTCGGATATATGATCAGAGCGATTATATTGACTGTTTGCTACTTGACGGATTGTTTTGATGCTTCTATAGTGATAGCATACTAACTTTATCTGGCTATGGATATCGAGGAAGCGTACATGATCCCTTGGTGTGAGCGGAACGTGGTACGACGTAACACGGAAACAGGGAAGATCATGGAATATTCACAGACGCACTCGCACTGGGCAAGCGACGGATATGTATGTCCTGGATCTTGCCAGCTGTGGGACTGAGAGGAGCAATAATGCCGTTTTCTCCCCTCCCACCCCTGAGGAAGTCTTCATGTTATTCATCCACACTTCACTGTAAAACTTGAACAGTATGCGGGCCTTTCATCTTTGGTGTCAAAGTTCTATATGCGCATCTGAATTTGATGAGTCAAATGGCGATCCTGCCAGGGCAGTGTGATTCTCGAAATGTAATAACATAATTGTTTCAACCCTCTACGGTCTTAACGTTTTCACATATCCTCTGTCTTGTTCTTTTTTCCCTTTCTCTCATCCTCACACCCCCGCAAACGGGATCGCAATTCCCTGCCATCACTCGAGGGTAGAACGAAACCAATCCCATCTACGTATTCACACGTGCATCGGATAAGGATGTCGATGAACAGCCGGACATTTGGCGAGTTTCCGGTAGGTTGATGCTCTTCGTTAAATGATCGTGCTATATGCCCCATTTCCTTGTGGTACTAAGTCCAATCTTCTTTGAAAGTTGCGTTCGCATTATCTCATTCATGATCATAGGTACAGTGGCTTTCGTTCAGAAGACAACCCCACGGTCGTGATAGCGTGTAGGAAATTAAGGCACAAAGATTAAACAGTCGATCAGCCGAGTGAAAGCGTTCCACACAAGGCCGTATGAAGGACATATTGAGACCAATCGATCAATTTGCGGCTACATCATAATAGTGCTTGGGCCTAAATCATTCCAGTCGTGTTTCCTGCACTCAGGTCATCGATTTATCTGGTTCTCACCTAGGAGTGCCAAACGGCGGAAGCTGTGAGCTGGATTACGGTATGAACGTCACAATCAGAATCAAGACACCGCAGCAAGGCATGAATGATCGAATGATTTCAGCAGGTGTGACATGGATATTGATAGGTAGTCGGTTCCTCTTGGGCGATGTGGGAGTGTTGTGGAACGACGACTGCAACCATGGCACTATGAATCATGGTTTGTGAAACAGACCGTCGCTCTCATTCTCACGACGATTGATTTAAGAAACTATCACTTTGAATTTAGAAAGCAACGCTCTGGTCGGATCCGCTTCCGTTCCGCGCACCGCATTGGTCAGTTGATCACGTTTTTTCTAACGCCCGATTGTGTCCTGCAACCTATCGAACGGATGTCGTTTCAGCGGGGCGGAAAGACCGTCTTTCGATTGGGACAACTAGGTTGAATTCGACTCGATGAGTACGAAGGATGACGTACTGTTTCGTGGTTGCTGGGACTCTGAGGATAGTTCAATCACGAAAGTTTACCACAGTAACTACGACCAGGGACGAGTTCACTGCCCGAGGTGTGGTCCGAGCGTTGCACTTTTCGTTACGTGAATCGTGAGCAGTAGTAAAATTTGTTGAGAAGCTTGAGTTGGAGTTATTGAATTGGACCTTGGTGACTGGGCTGTTTCTCATCAATGACCTAGCAACCACAATAAGTTACACCTGTACTGTGGTTCACCTATTCCTGGCTCAGCCTGTCGAACTGAACGAAGCAGATTGCAGTCGATTTGCTTGATAAAAAGAGATATTCGAAGTTTAAAACGAATACTTGTCAGAAAAAGTAGTCTAGTAAACTTAAAAAAAGATTGCTGTTTTTGTGAAAAATGAGGTATAGAAAATAAGAGCACTAGATACAGAAGCAAAATCAAGAGATGCACAAGCACAACCGCAAACGAGCCTCACCCGTATCACCTAACATTTTCACTGTTCGATGAGTCCCATGGAAGGTATTGCAATGACAGAGCTCTGTCACTGCTTACGTGTCTAAGACAACACTACCAACTTCCTGTGTGGTCGCCGGGTCGCTCCAAATCGGGGGACGAATTTCGTTATCCAAGAGTATTCTGTGTAGCTTAACTATTCTCACCCAGTATTTTTTTGTTTGTTCTGCCCAATAACTCATTCTTCCTTCTCGCCGTACGTTTACTCAAGTTTTGCCTCTCTCTTCTCCAAACTCGTTCAGATGGTGGCTTGCCGTCCCAGTTGGAGCAGTGCATCAAGGCACCAACCAATAGTGCAAGTTTGAATCAAGGTGCCTCCTGTGTGGATGCGATTGTTCCAATCGTGGTGCAAACGCGCAATGCAATTAAGAAGCTCATGTTCCAACAGGGCCAAATGGTTCAGGTAAGATTATTCACAGCTGTGTGTTGTACAACTTACAATGGAGGTGGACGATAATGTGAAATTCGTGTGTTCGTTTCTACGTTATTGTCCCTTATTTTGCTTTATTGAGCGCTCACTCGCCCGAAACCACAGATTAGTGAAGTGGTGCTTGGAGTTTGCAGTCCTTGAAGGGGGTTTCCGTCAGTTAAGTC